ATCAATCAATAAAGATTAGTTCTTTTCTCTCAAAAATTTATGCAGTTTAAGAGAAATAAGAAAACAAAGGACTTCGCATACACATACTCTGTTTTCTTACCCTCTCTCTCTCTAAACTCTCTCTAAAATTAAAGCAAAAAATTGTGATAGTTTGTTGATTAAAAATCTACAAGTGGTATCAGAGCTATATGATCTTAAGGGATCTGTGAAAAGAAATCGAAAAAAACAAAATATAACATGGCAACAAACCCGACTGGCACACTAACTCCTCCTCTATTTACGGGAGAAAATTATCACGTATGGGCAATAAAGATGAAGACATACCTGCAAGCCCACTGCCTGTGGAAGGTCGTGGAAGACGATGCAGAACCAGCATCATTGAAAGATGATGCAATAATAAACCAACTAAAGATGTATGAAGAAGACATCTCAAAGAAACCTCGGGCTCTGTCTTGTTTGGATGCGACAATATCAGATTCGATCTTCTCCAGAATAATGAACTTAAGAAACCCAAAGCAAGTATGGGATAAGTTGAAGGAGGAGTTTAAAGGTGATGAAAGAATCAAGATGGTGAAAGTTCTGAATCTGAGAAAGCAATTTGAAACACTGAAGATGGCAGAGGCAGAAATTATAAAAGAGAATGCCCCAAAACTACTTGATACAGTAAATAAGATCAGATTGCTCGGAGAAGACTTCGAAGACAGAAGAGTTGTTGAAAAAATGTTGGTGAGTCTCCATGCAAGATTCGAGGCCAAAATCTCAGTGATTGAAGAAACGTGCAATCTCAAAACTCTATCGGTTGCAGAACTATTGGGCAAGCTGTAAACATTGGAGCACAGGACAGCCTTGAGAGAAGCAAACTCCACCGAAGGAGCACTAGTAGCTACACAAAGCAGAAGCAAGAATCAAGGCAGAGAAAGAGGAGGAAAAAGAAATCAAGACGATCAAGTCACACGATCAACACAAAATTCAAACAAGCACAATAATAAGCAGCAAAAGGGATTACCAAACTGCAGAATATGTACTCGCAATAACCACCTAGAACAAGACTGCTAGTATAAAAGGAAGAACCCGATCAAGTGTAATTACTGTAAGAAGGGCGGACACATCGAAAAGATATGCTGATGGAAGAAAAAATATGAAGGGAACACAGCTGCTTCTTCTACTCAAAATCAGTCTCAACAGGAAGTAAATTATACCGAAGAAACCGAAGGAGAAGAGTAAATGTTTATGGCACTCAGCGAGCAATCAGACGAAGTTGACACTCACTAGATAATTGACAGTGGTTGTACAAGCCACATGTGCAAAAACAAAAGAATGTTTTCTGATTTTAACAAGGATACAAAACTCAATATAACTCTAGGTGATGGAAAGGCATTAAGAGCATAAGGAAAAAGAAGCATTGTAGTAACCACGAACCAAGGAAAAAGGGTCATACCTGACGTCCGGTATGTGCCTGGCTTGAGGCAAAATCTGTTAAGTATGAGCCAAATAATCATAAGGGGATACACCATGGTCTTTAAGGAAAATTCATGCTATATAAAAGACTCACGTGCGTATGAAATTGCAAACATTCTAATGATCAACAGAAGCTTCACCTTGAAGCTACAAGGAGCTAAAGAAAAACTAAGGTGCGCTGCTCAAAACGACACCATTATATGGCATCGAAGATTTAGACATGTGCATCTTGAAGCCCTCAAGAAGATGAACTCATTAAAATTGAGTCTAGATCTCCCTAAAATCATAGGAGAAAAGTGGATCTGTCAAATCTGCTAACTTGGGAAGATGCACAGACAACCCTTCCCTTCAAAGTCTTCCTATAGAGCAAATACCAAGCTTGTATTGATCCACACAGACATTTGTGGTCCTATGAGCACAAAGTCACTAAGCAACAACAGGTATTTCATCATGTTTATTGATGATCACTCCAGAATGATATGGATCTATTTCATAAAAACAAAGAATGAAGCTCTGCAAAAATTCAAGGAGTTCAAAGCTGAAACAGAAGCAGAAAGTGGAATGAAGCTGAAGTGTTTGAGGTCAGATAATGGTCTGAAGTTCACTTCAATGGAGTTTAAGGATTTCTGTATTAAAGAAGGCATAAAATGACAGCTTAGAGCCCCCTACTCTCCACAGCAAAATGGAGTATCAGAAAGAAAGAACATAACTGTGGTTGAGATGACAATAAGCTTACTCAAGGATAAACAGCTACCTCTGCAATTTTGGTGTGAAGCCATGAACACTTCTGTATACCTGTTGAACTGACTTCCCTCTCGGGCTGTTGAGGGAAAGACCTCATATGAATGCTGGAGTGGAAGGAAGCCAGCTACAAGGCATCTACGGGTGTTTGGTTCCATCTGCTACTATTATGTAGCATAAGAGAAAAGGAAGAAGCTGGATGATAAAGAAGAAATTTGTATCTTTTTGGATTATAGTATAGAAATAAAAGGATACAGGGTCTTCAATCCAAAGACTAAAAAAGTTATGACCAGAAGGGATATGGTAATTGATGAAGCATTTCACTGGGATTGGAAAGATGAAAAGATAATTCCTGATGATATAAGTTCTACTTCAAAATAAGCTCAAGAAGAAAATAAAGAAATGAATAATCAAGAGTCATAAAAATCACCAAATAAAAAGACAAGAAGCTTATCTGACATCTATGCTCAATACAACATTGCTGTTGCAGAGCCAACAACTTTTGAAAAAGCTGCTCAACATGAGGTTTGGAGAAAAGCTATGGAAGAAGAATTGAACATGATAAAAAAAAAATGCCACTTGGTCTCTAGTTCCCAAACCAAAAGGTAAAAATGCAATCGGAGTTAAATGAATCTTCCAGCTCAAGATAAACCCAGACGGCTCAATCAATAAGTACAAAGCATGCCTGGTAGTGAAAGGTTATGCTCAATTACCGGGAGTGGATTTTGGGGAGACATTTGCCCCAGTAGCAAGACATGAAACGATAAGGTTTCTGCTTGCTGTGGCAACACAAAGAGGTTGGCATGTCTTGCACCTTGATGTAAAATATGCCTTTTTAAATGGTGAATTGGAAGAGGATATATTTGTCCAGCAACCGATAGGATTTGAAGTAGAAGAGAAGGCTGATTATGTGTATAAATTACATAAAGCACTGTATGGTTTGAAGCAAGCTCCCAGAGCATGGTATGGCAAAATTGATGCATACCTGCTCCAGTGTGGGTTTAAAAGAAGTAAGAACGAAGCAACCCTATATATTAAACACCTAAAGGATGAAAAAATGGTCATCATATCACTGTATGTTGATGATATTCTCATCACTGGAAATGATGAACAAAGAATAAAGGAACTCAGAACACAACTAGAGCAGGAATTTGAGATATCAAACCTTGGGATAACAACCTATTTTCTGGGAATGGAGATCTTGCAATCTGAGAAAGGGATCTTTATATCACAAAAGAAGTATGCGAGGGAATCGTTCAAAAAATTCAAGCTTGAAAATTGCAAAGCCATATCTACCCCTCTCATACCACATATTAAACTTTCAGAAGCTGAAGAAGAAGAAATGGCGAATGAGAAAGAGTTCAGGAGTAAAATTAGCAACTTACTCTACCTAACTGCCACTCGACCAGATCTAACTTATGCAACCAGCCTGTTATCTCGGTTTATGAATTCACCAAGAAAATCACACATGGCAGTAGTTAATATATATAAGAGGAACCACTGATCTGGGAATCTATTTTCAAGCTCACAAGAAGGAGAGCTTCTAGGATACACGGACAGTGACTGGGCAGGATGTGTGGAGGATGCTAAAAGCACATCGAGATATGTTTTTTTACTTGGTTCTGGTGCATTTTCATGGTCGTCAAAGAAGAAAGAAATTGTTGCACTAGTTATCCACCAAAGCTGAATACATAGCAGCAGCAGGAGCAGTAAATCAAGCTCAATGGTTAAGGAAAATACTAAATGATTTACAGATGCTTTCCACTGAACCTACGATCCTCTATGCAAAGAATCCGGTGTTGTATGGAAAGACTAAGCATATAAAGGTTAAGTTCGACGCTATAAAGGAAGCAGAAAAGGAGAAAGAAGTAAGCCTAGTACACTGTGCAACAAAAGATCAAGTAGCAGACATTTTTACCAAGTCCTTGCCGAAAGGCAAATTTGAAGAACTAAAAAAATTATTGGGGATGAATAAAATCCTTAAGGAAGAATGTTCGACATAAAGATTTCATTTATAATAAAAATTTATTTGAAATAAAGCTCCAAACAGAGAGGTGATAGAATACATATAGAAAACCGACATATATCCGGTTTAGGATTGTTTTTAAATTATGTGTTTAAAGTTTGTTTTTGGTTAGAGTTCGAATTATGTTTTTTGAATCGGACTCTAATTTAATTCTGTGTTTAAATAACACTTCAAATCAATTAATAAAAATTAGTTCGTTCCTCTCAAAAAATTCTACAGTTTAAAAGAAACAAGAAAACAGAGGATTCCGCATATACATACTCTGTTTTCTTGCCCTCTCTCTCTAAACTCTCTCTCTAAAATTACAGTAAAAAATTGTGATAGTTTGTTGATTAAAAATCTACAATATATATATATATTTCTGGTATAAAATGCTTTCACGTATCACAATAAACAGAAGTGGATTAAGTATATGCTTTGAATATTTAAAGTAGTGTGGCTGAGTTATCGGTACGAAACAAATCTCGTTCGTGATTTTCTTATTTTTCGGGGTAAGCCTTTAAGTATTTAAATAACGACGACCTTAACTTCGAAGGTAACGTTTTGCACAATATAGGAGAATGGATAACTGTTGGAGAAGAAGACTGCAGGGAAAAAGAGCTTAAGGGCGTTCGATGAGACAAAAGCTGGTGTTAAAGGTTTAGTAGATGCTGGGATTGTGAATGTTCCCAAGATCTTTGTTCGGCCACCGGATAAGCACACCGGCGATTCAGACCGTTGTCAGATCCACTGCCCAGTTCCGGTCATCAACTTCAACGGCGTCCATGGCGACCGGCATAAGGAGATAGTTGACCAACTGAAGTCTGCTCGGCGAGTTGGGGATTCTTTCAGGTTGTGAATCGTGGGATCCCCCTGCAAGTTCTGGAAGACATGATCAAAGGGACAACCAGATTTCATGAGGGAGATGCTGAGATGAAGAAGCAGTTCTACACGCGTGATCGAACCAGAAGAGTTAAACTCAACAGCAACTATGATTTGTATAATTCAAAAGCAGCCAGTTGGAGAGACACGTTGAGTATTACGTGGCCTTCCACTGATTTGGATCCTCAAGAATTACCACCAGATTGCAGGTAAGTACGAACTACTACACTACATCTTCCTATATATACTGCTAACTAGTTAATTAATTTCTAAATAAAAAACACACCAAGCAACATATAAACTCATAATTTACAACTTATAGCTGAGACAAAACTTTCTTTTATTTAGAAAAAAGTTTCTTGATTGAACAAAAAATATTAATTGCAGGATATGTAAGTCGCATAAAACAGAACAAACTTTTACAACATGGAATCTTTTTCTATAAAAAATTAAAATTGATCACACTTACAGCAATTACAAAGTCCTCCAGTAGTGCAGGAAAAAGAAAAGAATAACTATAAAGCGTTTTGAAGCGCGTAACAAAGAGGATTACTAATAAAAACTCATACTTAACTGTTCCTTTGGAGCTCATTCTAATTAAGAGGAGTTTTTTCTTTTTCCAATTTATAATCACACATGTGATCGTTAACTTTCAAGTTCCACTACCTTTTTATACGTACATATATGCAGAGAATGTAGCGTTCAATATGTAAAGCATGTGAGTGAGTTGGGACATAGT